GTCGGTCTGCCTGACACACCAGGGATAAATCATTTCAGCAAAAAATTTTGCAAAGGCAGAGGAGGGACTCGCCATGTGGAGCAGCTCTGCTGGAGGAGACAAACTCCTCAGATGACCTTGCTCTCCCCTTGGAAGCTGAAACACGTTTTATGAAGCAGGAGTTGCTGAACGCTGCATCTGGGAATCTCGGGCATCTTGCAGAGCAAACAGGGATGCTTCCAGCAGCGGGGACAGGGGCTCACAGCGAGACGCAATGACAGATCCGTTAAGGAATCAGAGCTGTGAACACCTCAGCTGCTCCATGCAGTGACAAAGGGCAGTGCTTGTTAGGGCATATTTGTTTATTTATTTATTTATTTAATGTGTTCCTGGTCTTTTCCTGGCCTTCGCTGAGAGTTTCTGGCATGACTAGGTTTATGTTCAAGTCCTGTAGAAAGAGCACAGCACACCTGGATGCTTTCTGTGACTGCAGCCTTCCTCCCCTGCTGCCAAGCAGCCGTTCCCAGGAGGCCTCTGTGCAGGCCGGTTGTCAGGAGAGCCTGTGAGCCGAGCTCGGTTAGTCACAGACAGCCACGGGCGAAGGAGGCCAGAGGACGCGGCGCTCACAGACATCTATCATCCTCGTTCCTGCTCTTCACAACCTTGCCTCCTCACAGCTTCCCAACGCCTCTATTCTCCCTGGCTTGGAGAGAAAGGCAATTTCTCCCCATTTTTCATGTAGGACAGTTGATGTGCAGGAGGAAGCCAGACTTAGAGATATTTCCAATGCCTGGGAAGCCCCCATGGGAATTCCCCCCAAAGTCTATAAAAATTCTGCAGCCCTCATGAACAGATCCCCCCTCCTGGCCTTTCCAGGACATATCTCTTGCACAGGTTTTCTTCTTCACCACAAAAAACCTCTACCCTCTCTCCAGGGTGCTGTTTTCTTTTTGCTCACCCTCCCGATCCACTTGGAGTGGGAATTCTTGGGCAGGTGAGCTATGAACTGCAAGCCAAGGAGCTGCCTTTCTGCAGCCTGATGCATAACTTGGGTGAAGGGGAAAGCAGTCCTGCCTCTCCCCCAAACCGAGCGGCTGGGTATGCCACGTAACCAAGGCCATAAGGGAGGGAAATCTGAGCCCACAGCTGGCTCTTACACTGAGAACTGCTGTGACTTTCCTCGCTGCATCTCATCTCCCTTCGCACTCGCAGCCTTCTGATCTCCAGCTGCATCAGATACTTCAGATGTGCTCATTTCTGAAGCATCCCAAATCTTGAGATTATGCCTCATCTCAAAGTGCTAGCGATGGAGGGAAGTGTGCTCAGCCAAGAAACAGCTCAACCTGGGCAAAAACACAGGCCTTTTTAGAGAAAACCAAGGAAGTGTTTGCTGCTGTGCTGCTCGGGTCTCGAGTGGGACCAATGCCTTAGCCTCGGTTCACCCACATTCCAGCAGTGAGCTGCAGTCACATTTCTGAATGCTCTCTCCTAGGGGAGTTGTTTCATCCAGTGTAAATGCTTTTTTGCAAAGTTTGCAAAACAGCTGTGATCAATAGAAGGAAAAAACATAAAAGAGGTAAGGTCTGTCCAAATGAAAGAACCACCATGCTTTCCATGAACCACCATGGAAGTTCTAGAATAGAGGATGAGAACATGCATGGACCAGGTATTTACTAAATACTGCACTTGTTGACATATGAGAGAGAAACGGGGAAAAAGAAATGCATGAGAGAAGATAGACTGACAGGTACTAGTGTCTCACAATAGAAGTATTTTCATAAGGGGCTCTCCATTATGTGCACACTGTCTACTGCTAAGAATGGATATTGAAAATAAATGAGTTGTATTGTGGCCACTGCAAATAAATAGGCATCCCGCAATGAAGACATAGCAGACACAAGCTAAGTTATTGTGTTACTGCTGAAATGAACTGGATGTGTGAGGAAGCACACACTATACATTCCAGTTAGCAAATGACCTGATGGGAAAAAAGCACTAACGCTCCAAAACACACCCCGCTGCCACCTCCTGCAAACAGGGGGTGAAGCCCGGCTGCTGGCGGACGTCCTCGGCGAGGCGGCAGCGAGATATCCCATGGCCCCTGCTGCTCTCGGCCCCCATCACTCGAGCTATCCCCTTAGTCATTCCTCCTCTTACACCGTGGGGCCAAAGGGTTTGTTAGTCTCATATCCCATGCTGGAGCACACGCTTGCAGTGCTGTGCACGAAAAAATACCTTACGAGACTCCTTTTGCCACTGCAAATCATTCATCCCACCCTGGAACAGCAGAGGACCGCGATCCAAGACAAGATGTCCAGGAAAGAGGCTTTGCTCTAGCACAACCGCAGAGATGCCCAGGAAATTCAGGCTCCACATCAGCAGTGCAATGGCATGGCCTTAGTGCCACCAGGCTGCCCACGCAGCGTGAGCACAGCCCCTCTAGGAAAATGCCATCTCTGAGGTCATTTTTCAGCAGAGACCTCCCGAGAGGAGCAATGCACACGCAATGCACAGACTTTGCTTGGCTGCTGCTGCTCGCACACTGAGGGTTTGCTAAGAGGTGTTCAGCCAGCCTGCTGCCGTCGCTCTGCCTGCAGCGCGGGCTGCGTTGTCGTCTGCTGCTCCATGCATCGCGATCCCCGCCGAGGGATCGGCGCACACCCTCTAAACCCTCACCATTCCCCATGGATGGCTCTGCAGCAAAGCTGAGGGGCTTCGCTCCTCTAAGCAGACCGAATACAGGTAACCACCGCTGGCGAGACACTATGCGGAGGAGAAGGAAGAGAGAGGGGAAGGAAAGCACAGCTCAGAAATCAGGCGGTGACAGGGACACGAAGGGAGAAGTGGGGGAGGAAGGAGGGTAAAGTCGTGTCTTCCTGTGTGTCAGGAGCTCCCACTGCAGCTCCCGCTCTCCCGCTGCAGGGACACACTGCGCCCAGCGCACACCCGCACCGCGAGCGGCAGCCGAGCGGGGCAATGTTACACCACAGTCCTCAGGAGTATCTGATAGCACAACTAAGCGCTTTGGATGGAGCTTCCCACCGCACCACGCCTGCCTTTTCTGCTCCCAGATGCATGAATCTGGAGAGCATAAAACGCAATGGGAGTCCTTCAGCAGGCTGCCGTGTTACAAAACTGCTCGGAGATTTACTTCATGTTCCCTACCAGGATGGTAAATAAATCAGGTGTCATTGATGGTGCTTCACCTCTGCCAACTATTCATGCTATGGAATAGAGGGCTGGGATGTCACACAGCCTCTGTGCAATGTTGCAACAGGTCTTTGATGATTAAACACAAAATTAATCCAGAAATCAAGGTTCTGACCCAACATGGAGGCAGCCCCAAGGCTTCTACATCAGGGTTCCTGGGGAAGACCTACACAGCTTTCAGACAGACACTTTTTGGTGCTTGCAGTCTCTTAGAGGTAAAGCCTGTGCGGAGGCCAGGCCTGCTGAGCTGCTCGTTGGGTGCTGCTCCTCGCTAGCCCAAGGGAATGCCTGGAGACCCAAATCTGCCTGGTGCAGGGTACAGGGCTGAGCAGCTGCCCGCAGGGTTCCTCCCTCTCCCCACTCTCTTGCCGTGCTGGGGGGAAGGTCCCTCCTTCTGTCCTCCTTGTTCCCCCAGCTTTTCCCCCCTGGACTCTTGCATCTGTTTCTCATCTTCCCTTCCCTTATGAGGACGCTATCTGCAGTCTTTAGTCACACATGGCTATTCTTTGGCAACACTTTCTTTAAATGTTCTTCTTGATACCTTGAGCGACCTAAGCTTTTCTCAGCTCTGCCCAAGGAGCAGAAGGAGAGGAGCAGCCTGCCTGGCTGGGCGGGATGGGAAGGGAGTCCAGGGCATGCACAGACTGCAGCAGAGACATAGAATGGAATGTTCCTACTCCGGCCTTTAAGGAGAGGACAGCCCATCCCGTGGCAATGACTGTAGCATGAGTCAGTTGGGGTTATCAGGTGGGAGATCCCGAAGCAGAGACCCAGGATATTTCCTCTTGCTGGACACAGACACCCTGGCTCCTCGATTACCAAACCCCCCGGCCTGCCGAAGCAGCCACAGAAGGACCCCAGCGCGGCGCAGAGCCCAGGGCACGTGGGCAGCGCAGCCCCCGCGGCTGCGTCCCCTCCTGCCCCTTCCCAGCACGGCGCCGTCACCCCCAGCCGCCGCACGGGACACGCCACCCGCCGCCACCGCCCGCACCGGCGCCGTCACCCCAGCCGCCGCACGGGACACGCCACCCGCCGCCACCGCCCGCACCGCCGCCTGGCATCGCTTCCTCTGGGCAACCCGGGTTTGGGTTTTCGTTTTCATGCAGGGACCTTCTGGCAGCGTGCACGGCCACCAGGATGTCACCCGGAACCGTACGGAGCGCCGGCCGCCCCGCTCGCCCCACCTCCCTGCCCACCCGGCACCGGAGCAGGGCCACATCGCTTTTGCTTTTCCTTTGCTCTAACAGAGCACCGGGGAGGGACCCACGTCACACAGCAGGCTGGGAGGGATGACCACGAGGAACAAGCAGAAATATCTCCCTTCCCGTTCGATTGTAAGCCACAATTTCAACACATCTACAGACACCCAGGGAGATACCACTGGAGAAGGGACTGAGCTCAGCTCATCCCCAAAGCACCTGCCTTTCTCACCGGTCTCTATCCATCCATCTCCTTAGCTGGCTAATATTCACTGACCACAGCAAGAGACTCTCACTACCCGTCCTTTGCCCAGTGCTTCAACAGGACCCATGGGACACCCTGGGTGACACCAAGCAGCCTCCTAGGAAAACGGGCCTGGCAGCGGCTGCTCCTGCCCGTGGCTGCCAAGCGGCACACAAAGGACTCAAGCAAGCAAACTTCAGCTCAACAGGCTGCTTCCTCCGTCCCTGCCACGCCAGAGCCAGCAGGCACCATCCACGCATGGCACCGTGCCCGTGCACCGTGGCCAGGGACCTCCTCGGTCCTACAACACCGCTGCTGTCTGCACGCCCCGAGAAGAGAACAGGAGCAGGAGGTCTGCTTATACTCACAGTTTTGAAGTCCTCATGGCTACACTCTTGGCCTTTGAATTTGCAGTAGAGCATCATATCCTTGAGATCATGGCCAACCCGTGCCAGGAACTCCTGCATGCTGAAAACTTTCGGTTTGTATTGCTTAAAGTTGGTCTTTTCCTGCAGAATGGCTAAGACAGCTGGGTCAGCCAGGTGGGGGTTGGGGATCTGCAGGTTGACATCAAGCAAAGCCAGGAGCTCTCCAGCGTGGTACAGGTCGTTGGTAGTGAGCCGGGAGAAGCGGAACTCGTTGAGGTTACAGATGGTGACGGCAGGGAAGACCAGGCTGTTTGCCACCACCTCGTCCACTTTGGTCACGTGCTGGTAGGAGAAGTAGAAAGCTACCCGGTCTGAGCTCTCCACCAGGAGCAGGCCCAGGGAGCCCACGAAGGCCAAGGTCCAGAGCAGGCGCCGGATGGTCACCGGCCCGTAGACGAAGACGTGACGGATCCCGTGGAGCGTGGAGGTGTTGGCAAAAATCTGGATGCTGGAAGGCTGCAGGCTGCCCATGCTGCCCTCGCTGGTGCTGTCCTTCAGATCCATGAGGGATGGAGCTGGTTAAATCCTGGCAGCGCTTTACGGGTCAGTCTCGGCAAGCACCCGTCTCCTCCCCTCCCCTCCCTTCCCCTCTTGGAAGTAATTAAACCCTTGCAGGGGAGGGAGAGGACGGAGAGGCTCAGGCGAGCTGCTGCAAGCTTGTCCTACGAGCTCAGCAGCATCTCCGGGGGGTAAATATTGATATAAAATCCATTCAAACTCCAGCTCTTGATTTCCTCGGCGCGATAAGAAGGGCTGGTTTTATTTAGGGAGACACCAAGGTGATGTGGAAGGGATGTGGGTGGGAAGCGAGCGCGCAGCCAATGGAAGCGCGGTCCTCCCCCTGCACACACACACACACACACATGCACGCACACGCGCGCCAAACCGAGATGAGATTAAGGGAGAGAGCTTAAAGCAAGTGGAGGCAGCTTGCAGCCTGTTAACTAGTGCATAAAGCGCAAGGATGCCGCTTCCCCGGCTGATGCACGGCAGAGCAGCGGGGCTCGCCGATGGGCTGTGCGGGTCTGCTCTTGCTCCGGTGCTGCAAGCTGCTGATTCAGGCATTTGTCCTTCTTCCCACCCCTCCATCCCCCAATGTCCTTGCGGGGTGGGGGAGGCTCCAAAAATGCCGCTGGAAAATGCACCTCGTGCTGCCAGGGTTGCTGCTGAGGGCTTTTCACAGCGCAAGGCGGACAGCTCCTTTAGGAGAAGGATGCAAGAGAAGGCAGAGAGGAGAAAGGGGGAGGGAAAGGATTAAAAAAAATGGAGGAGAAAAATTGCAGCTCAGCTCCATGGGCAGAAAGCACCAAGGCAGCAGGACCAGAGCAGGCTCCAGCCAGCAGCTCTTGTAGCCTCCGGGCTCACCCCGCAGAGGACTCAGAAGCCTCTGGTCCATCAGCATCTCCGGGAGTTCAGTTTGCCTCTGAACGGCAGCTGCGATGGGGTTTGCTGGTGGGAGATGCTCCCAGATGTGAGCTCAGCTGGGAGGCTTGGAGCTGGACGGAGGAGCAATTGTGGAAGGTTTCCTACCCAACAGATACTGAGAAATCTCCATTTATCTCCATTTGCACTAGGGAAACTGAGGCAGGATGAGACTAAAAGACTTGGGTGGGAGCTGCCACACTGAGTTGGTTCCCTCCATGTAGAACTTTCCATCAATGCAGAAGACGGTTCTTCCTCCACCTCTGCTCTCGATGGAGCCCATCTAGATCCCTGGAGGCCCTTGGAGGGAGTCCTTGCTTCACGAGTGGCTTTAGGGCCCCAAATCAAGTAGCAGTGGCTTGTCATGGGGATGGCCACTTTGCCACGTCCTTTCCAGAACGGATGGAGAAGGCAGGTCTGAGCAGAGCCAAGGAACTCGTGAACCAGTTACAAGAGCTCAGGGCACGGTGGCCATACAAGCCCCGCTCCTGAGCTGCCTGCTCTTCCTAGAGCATGGAGGGGAACTGCCCCTCTGCAACACGCTTCTGGTGGGAATGGGCTTCCTTCCCCACCCTCCACCAAGCTGGCTGCAAATCTCTTCCCTGCGCAGCTCCGTCTGCGTTATTGGCCTGATGCACTAATGCTCTCATTTATTCACTACGCACGCCGCCTTTACAATCCTGTTTTCTGTAATTCATACCATCTACCATCTGCTGCCTTTTATTATTTAACTTAGTGAAGGGCTCTGGGTGTCGTGTGCGAGAAAAGCTCCTTGCTCAGCGGTGCTTGGCACCCCGTGCTCACTCGCAGGCCCTTCCCTGCTGCTTGTGGGCTCCATTAGGGATCTGGTAGGTTTGATTGGATTTTCCCCGTGCCATAACCCTGAAAGATGCACCAGTGGGATGGATGGTCCCCAGTGAGGACCCCACATGCAGCCTGTGGCCTCGGTGCCAGGCTGTGCATGGGGGTGGCATTGCCGGGGGGTCCCCAGACCTTAGGAGAGGCTGCGTGGTGCTTGCAGGTGACAGGGGCAAGGACAGGGGGACATATATCCAGACGCATTCGTACCGCTCTGCGTGCGTGTGTGCATGCACCAGCGCAGTGGCAGGGAATCCCGACCTCGCCACCATCCCAGGACACCCTCTGGGTTTGCAGAGCCCACCAAGAAGAGCTGAGCTCCAGGGGTGCTCCCGGAGGGGACAACAGCGAGACGCACAGCTGGCCCCACTGTCACAGCTGCTTCTGCAGCCGGGCAGGACCAGAAGACACATCCCTCCCCAAAATCCCTTTTGCTTCCCCGTGCAGAGCGGGGAAGGCAGGGATGGGGTGATGGAGGTGGGTGAGCAGCAGGCCCAGGGGTGTTTGCGGGACACAGGGAGCAGAACCTCATCCCTCTCCCATTGCGCGTTCTGCGCCTGCCCTCTTGTGTCCCGAGCACAGGTTGCAATGCTCGAGGTGAGGATTGCCCGCTGCAAAACCCAAGGGAAATGGTTCTGTTTAAGCAGGGACGGGAGGAGACACAGAGGGCTCCCCCACGTCTTCTCACAAGACGTTCGTGCTCCTATGGGACTCCCTGTGTCTCAGCCTCACCCGAGTTTTGGATCCTCTCACCACCCAACTGCTGGGTACAAAGTCCTGGAGCTGCTGGGAGCCCAAAGGTCCATTAGGAAGCTCAGCTGCTTAAATGAGTCTTCCTTCCAAATGGGAGTGCAGCGTTGCCTGATGAGGGTTCCCCGATGTTAAATCCAATCCCTTCCCAAGTAGATTTAGCTCATTAAAAGGGCTTTTAAAAATACAGATATATAATTGAATTTTTTTATTGGATTTCAATGTATTTAATATTATGTCTGGATTTATAATAAGGTATGAAATAAAAGCAATTAGAGGGCAGAAAAAGCTCCTTGAAATAAAACCAAAAAACTCAGGTGGCTTCACTTAGGATAGGCTCTAGAGGAAAGCGCTTGAGGACAATGTAATGCTTCATTTTGGTCTCCCTATGCCCCCTCCAAAAAGAAATTCTTGACACAAATATATATTTTTTTCCCAGGGAATGCGTCAGTGCCAACAAAGCAGCAATTTTGAGTTGAAAAACCTGATTTTTGGAAGATTTCCCGCCAGCTCTGCCTCCCACCCCGCAGCAGCAGAGAGGAGCGGGTGCCTCCCCGTCCCGCGCGCTCGCAGGTGAGAGGTGGCTCCGCGCCGGCGGCTGCCCCAGGCACCGAGCTCACCCACGCGGATCGGCACCGCGCTCACCCACGTGGATCGGCACCGAGCTCACCCACGCGGATCGGCACCGAGCTCACCCACGCGGATCGGCACCGAGCGCACCCACGCGGATCGCCGGGAGCCAGCGAGGAGCACCTCGAGAGCTTGTCACCAAAAGGTAGTGCTGGATTTGCAGCAAGGTATTTCCAGCAACAGGCATCTATTCCGCTCACTCCCACCTTCCTGGCTACCTCGTTTTCCTGGCTTCTTATACACAAAATGGAAGTAATGATACTTCTATCCTGTCTCTTGCGCTTAGAGATTTGGGGATGAAAAATGTGATCTAAGAGCTACCTTTTCCTCTAGTGGCTCTCCTTTTAAACAGCTGGCTAATTTAGTCCTTGAAACTATACTTGTTCCCCATGTTCAACTTTACACGGTTTTATTTTGACTTATCTGCTTTAGTTCTGCCTGATGCTCTCACTCCTCGGAAAGTCTGTAAAAGCACTTTGAATCATTCATGAATAATTCACTCCAAGGAACCATTCCAGGCCCTTCTCTCTGGGTAACACCAGGCATTTGTTCTTGTCGACGCATGAAAAAGGCCCAAAAAAACTCACCGAAACACTTTTTTTTTTCCCCAATTTTTTGCTTGAGATGTCTTCATCATCTTTTCTTTCTTTTTAACTTCTACTTCAGCTCCGCTGCTGCTCCCAAGTGAAACTCTCCAAAGAAGGTGGTTTGCATGGGATTTTGATCCTAGGAATAATTAAACCAAGGAATGCTATGAGTAAAGGAGCCACCGTTTCATTGCTATAGCAACCCTGCTTGTCTTTCCTCCAGCGGCAGAGGTCAGAAAAACAAGAAAAACAATGTAAAAAGTAATTGCCATCCTGCTGCCACAGGGGCGAAGCTGGGAAGGGAGGTGAGACGCGCTGGGAGGATGCGTAGTACAACACAGCACTGTCCCCTGTTCATCCACTTCTCTTCGTGCAGATTTAGTCAAGCAAAATTTCAGAGGATTTTCAGGGCTGCCAAGATCCCTCTCAGCACAGAGCCAACTCCATTGCCCCCCTTATGCAAGTTTTTTATTCCCTTTCAACCACATTTGGCTGCAATTGCTTCTTTCCATTTCCATAACTTGCGGGATACCTCACCAAGGGGACGTGGGGGAAATGCAGCTGATGAGCCGTGACTTGACTTAAAGACAGCCTATAAGGCCTCCCAAGAACACTGCATTTAGGGGACAGAGGTATGCCAAGGCTGCGTCCTCTGACGCCCGTCATTGCATGGACCAGAGCAGTGGATAAGGAAGGGGACAATTTTGCCAGCCAAGTGGCTTGGTGGCCAGAGTTGCAGCACCCGCGCGCTGCTCTGGCCCTGACTATGAGCAAATACTGCATTTAATTCATCTGTGCCCCACAGCGTGTTGAATGGGCCTAATCCTTTCCTCTCCTCGGGGGTGTTGGATGGGTTAGTTAATGTTTATTCAGTGATTTGAGAAGCAGCGGAGACAGCAACTAAACCAGATTATAGTGTTTACTTTTCCCTAAGATTATTTCCACTCCAGAGAGGAGCTGTTTTTGTGCTGATAAAAATTGCTAAATCCTTGCCCTTTCTGATGGAGGAAGAATACTTGAAACTTCTGGATTCCTTTTGGATATAGCTTAGTTTAGTGCAAAGTGGCACAGTAATAACAGCGTAGGGCTGAGCTCTCCCTCTGCAGAATTGCACTGCACAGGCCTTGTTGCTCTGTGGATCTACTCGGAATGGACAGATCCCTTCAAACTGCCTAAAATATGATTTTCCTTTCTTGTCAAGTTCCCTCAATCACTGCTGTCCAGCCCCACTCTTCCCATGAACCTTCAACCATCAGTGAAGCATCAAAGTCTTTATTTT